GCCCCACCGCTTTACTTCATGCTAAGAAAGAAAACAAACGATGAGACCGAGGCTGTACGATCGACAGGCAGAGAGCCAGAAAGCCTGTCATTGAATCGTGAAATATGGCAAAATATGCGAATTGTTTGAGAAAAGTATGGGGGTTCCACCTCTTTTTGAGTAGGCAATTGATCAGAGTAATTTTTTGTTTCACGGATTTTGAAAGTATACAAATAAGATCGGTTTTTATCATTTTTATTTTGATAGCATGTATACATTTACATTTAGTTACGTCTGTTTATTTAACCGTTTCTTATTGTACACATCTAACAACATTTGGGCTTTCGTCAGCACACCTCAAGACCAGGTCCCAAAACATTTGAAAGCACTTTATATGAGAAATGATATGATTATACGTACTGTTAGATATAGTACGTTCTTTGCCGTCACAATGATTGCAGTAAGGTACGTCAGGACCATCATTGTTCACAGGGACTTCATTCCGTTTAAACTCTTTACAGAAAACCCCGGTACATTTCAATGTGTTACTTAAATAACTTTAACAGTATCCGTAATATGAAACTGATCCTTTTGAGAAAATTAGCATTGAAGGTGAACTTCAAATCTAATATTACCTAATAATTACTACTTAATTCTATCAAATTGGTGTTTGATATTTCCTGTTCTTTCAGACGCTTTTTGTCCACTGACATTTTAAGCATTTATACGACCATGAATATGATTGATCTCTATCGATTAGCTCACAGTCTATGTGCTTTTAACCTCTTTACATTCGTTCAATGTATTGACGACGATGAAAGGACGAAAGTGTCCTTAGACACCCTGAGTGGCAGAATCGTCGGGTTTCATGCAGTTTTAGATGGTGCAGCGCTAATTTAAAGTTTTCAGATTTGATAGTTAATTTATTTTATTTTTCGTAAGAAAATACGTACATTTTACTCTTAAAGTCGAGTTATGTTAATTCACGATTTCGTAATGAATATAACTTTAATTGATTTACTGCATTTAGCTTCACTAACTTTAAAATCAATATCAATTTGTCAAACTCAAAAATTAAGCTTGATAAAACACAAACAACAATGTTATTTCGGTGGATTTCTGGCGATGTTATACCGTAAAACTTATGGAAATCGAGGCCGGTTTTTAAATTGCAAAGGAATAGCTAGGTTGGGAAACCTTTGCATTCATTTGTCAGTGTTAATGGTGCTGCCAAGTTGTGGAAATCCGTGGTAGCCAAGAAGAAGGTCTCCACGTCTAACTTTTTAATCGGCTAATGTACTGACCACGTGTTTACCAACAGTAAACAGTTACAACTAGGCCCTCAAAGGCTAAGCCCCGCCAAGTCTGACTCTCTAGGTAAACATTACATATGTTTAGTGTATAGAACATGTAGGATTCTCTGTCCTGGTAACACACACGCAGGAAAAATTGCAATAAACTTGTTGACTTTTCCTTCGTATGTTTCGCTGAAGTGACAACATCTGTTGAGTGCTTTTAAATACAAAGTAATAAATACCTACACCTTTTGACGATGTTAAAGTGATTGAGAATTTTAGTTTGTTGAACAATATATTTTTTTAACAAGTGTTGTACTTTCTTCAAAAAACGATACAACTTTTTCTTATTACGACGACAACATGTAAACAAATTGTTACACTCAAGGACATAAAACCAATCTTGTGATTTATGGTCAAGCGGTCAAGTCAAATGTCCAAAAAGTAAGGTGTTAATAGTCTACATATCCATATAAAAAACATTGGACAATGTGTTGAGATCTTTCACTGGCAACGTGCCTCGCACATTTAAATTAGCACGTAACATGTCACATGACATTTGTGGGTGACATTAATACACTGATTGTCTGCCCGCCAGCTTCTTTCACCGACAGATGGCAGGTTAGTGGATGATATATCGGCCAAAGTGACCAGACCTCCGGCCGATCGGATTAGACCAGACAAAACCAATGGTCAACAAATCACTGCTAACTACCATGCTGGCAGGCTGGAACATTTGTTATACTTTATTGGCATCGGGTCGCATGTCAATTTTGATAAAATGTTAACGTTTTGATAATAGACGAATTAGAGTCAGTGAGGCCAAGTCCGGAATTTTACGACCTGCTCGTAAAGTGTTCTTAGTGGCGGGGTCGAAATTTCTCCATTGGGGGTACAAAGTATCGTAACAGAGCGCGGACTGATAGTGTTCAACATCAATCAATAGATAGTAGGACAAAGATAACGGATGGGAAACTTCACGGTCTATTGAACTCATATCATATCGTTTTATTACAGTGCGAAATAATCTTATCAAGAAATAGGAAGGAATTTTTTCAGTTTTACCGACAGAAAACTTGTAAAAAGTCTGGTTTGAAATAGTCCCAAACGTGTTTAAGTCAAATCATGAACTTTTAAACTATTTATTCAGCGACTCTTCTGATAAACATGGTTCTGTGACAAGTAATGGAAATAGGCCAATACTCGTGACTTTCGTAATATCCACTTTACTACAACTGACTTGATTGATTTTAATATTGTCTGTAATATAGAATAATCATGACCTCATACTTGTTTTGTTGTGCTGAAATAGTACAGTCCTTAAAATGTGATAAAACAGGAAAGCCCGTGGCTAGTTATGAAAGGGGAACGGAAGCTTGATATAAAGGCGTAAAGTAATACAACCCGGTTTACTAGGTACACCATAGTTTATATGAGGATTGGTAGAAAGACTGAAATAAATAAGACAAAAACGATTGTTTATAGTACAATAGCGATATTTACCAACTCCATGAAAAACTGTGTAAATATTGGTACGTCAAGATTACGTGACTGGCACGTGCTGTAGATTATAAACAAACCCCTTATCTTAGATAGCGGGGAGAATTTAAATGTAAATGTTACACTTCTGACTGCATTTAATTAAATCCCAATGTAACTGGATATTTTCAAGGTGAAGATCGTTTATTGCAAATTAAAATTAAACGCTAATTTACCTCCGGAGCACCATGAGGTTGTCGTAGAAAGCTATAATTTGCCCCAAAATAAATGAAAACTGTCTGCAGCTTTTCGATGAGAATATTGACACTTCACATGTACATTTCCTTTGTATATATAACACTGATAAATGGCGTTTTTAAAGGATGAAACAATAAACCGATTTTAGAAGAAAAAAAGAGATAAGAACATTTTGAAAAGTTGTGGTAGAAAGTGCGAACAGCACGCAACTGTAAGCCGACCTTTTCCAGTAGGGAGTTATCAGAAAATCAAACTTTTTTTATTCAATATGTATACCAATAGTAATGTTCTTGACATGCCGAAAGGCACGTGCTTTCCAGACATATGTAATTGTATATGACAGAATTATTGCACAATGTTTGCTATTGCCAAGTATTTGGAATGCTTTTCCATCTTCTCAAGACTTTCTCCTAGTTATATCTTAGCTAGATAGAGACTTGACGCCATAGTTAACTCTTTCGAACAAGCGCTGATATGAACTTGATCTGTATCTAGTTTCAACACGGATTAGGAAAATTACACGTAATCCATATGTTCATCAACCTTTTGTTTGAAGACATGTGTATGCATATGTTTTCAAAGGCAAGCCGTCGACAATATGAATTAAGCAGGTTCCAAATAAAATCTCTGGGTATTATAAATCACAGCTACTGTAACGATAGCCATCGCATGCTTTTGTTAGAAACTTCACTCTTAATCACCACATCGATACAATCATTGCCTATGGCTTAGTAAGTGATTTGAGAACAGGTTCTTGGTTACAGAAATGCACCCACAGTACGAGTAGGTTATACTTAAAGGCTCATGACACATCGATAAAAAACCACCAAAAACAACACAAACTAGAGTAGTGGTAAATCATTCCCACACCTTTCTACACTGACCAATACCAAATATGCGTTTAAAAAAACGTTACCTAATATTCGTGACCTTGGGGGCGAATTAATCAAACTAGATGCACAAACTGTCCCCTATAGGAATAACCTGCGATAGAAAACTCTAAAGAAATAAACTTAAAGAACAATCCCAGGACATGTGTATTGTATTAAATATATGGTTAAAATGAGTAAAGGATAACCGAGATGTTGGACATCAGGTTCTCGTGAAGGTTGATTTACCAGAATAGCATACAGTCCCTATTTGATATTAATTAATCTCGACATTCTTAGTGGAGATTCATTATATCGTGAACTATTTGTACGGAATACCTGCTACACTTTCTCTCCTCGGAACAATGAGTGGTTTTAATGATCAGCCTCGTTTACGTTCTGTGCTTATATCCACTCTGACATAAACAAGTAAATTGGTTATTCTTTCGAGCAAGACGGACCATCGTCTAAGTGTTTTGTAAGGATACAAAAAATACACACTTAACAGCCAAACAGAAAAAAGGGGTTCCATATGGACCATATTTACTTCGTTTTTGTATTTTCAGACCCAATGTATTTTATACTATTGACTTTGGGTCAACCATACATCACTGGAATGAATGACATAAATGTTTCCATTTTAAAGTGTTATCGGATAGGCTCGTCAAACCTCGGTGCGAAGTTTAAACGACTCTAAGAGTGATTTATATAAAATCTTAGTTTCAATCATGACAAGTGAGCCTTTAAAAAGATAGATAAACTGTTTCAATTATCCGTAGATGTCGCCTTCTGACACTTCATTTCATTCCAGTCAACCTAAAACGTAATCTTACGTACAGGAAGCCTACACTATATCTGAAAATAACACCGTCGTTATGCGATTTCATTTAACGAAAAGTATATTATCATATAGTATATTTACCACTGATTATATCATTAGACTGTTATCTAAATACATGTCACTCAAATCTGTTTATGATGGGTTACATTTTAAACATTAGTGTCTCATACTATTTTTGTCATGATAAGATATACGATTTAGTATAGAAGTTCTCTTAATAATAAACATGTTTATATTATGATGTTAATTTATAACTTATTCATTGTTGGATTGTTTCAGGCTGTGGAAGACAACATGATGAAACAATGCAAATGCCATGGTGTTTCCGGATCCTGTGAGCTGAAAACATGCTGGCGAGCAATGCCAACATTCAGAGAAATAGGACAAATTGTGAAGGAAAAATTTGATGGAGCAACCGAGGTGAAATTAGACAGAAATAAGTTACGGCCTCGCCTTATACCAGTCAACCCACAATTCAAACCTCACACTAACTCAGATCTGGTATATCTGATCGCCTCCCCGGACTTTTGTGAGCCTGACCCAAAGACTGGGTCCCTCGGCACAACGGGGAGGGTATGCAACAAAACATCAAAAGCCATTGATGGCTGTGACTTAATGTGCTGTGGTAGAGGGTACGAGACCCGTAGAAGAAAAATTATAGACAGGTGTTCATGTAAATTTCATTGGTGTTGCTACGTAACGTGTAAAAAATGTGAACGAGAAATTGACGAACATACGTGTAAATAAAGAGAAGTCAAATAGTTCTATAGACACGTGAATCAAAGCCTTACAGGGCAAAAATTCAAAGACGACAGCTTCCGGTTCAGCATGCGCATAGGATGTGGAGTAAAATACCAGGTTGTATTACTACTTTTCCCGGAACCGGATGTATAACCGGATGTTCAAAATGTGCTATACATGTGCTACAATGACAATGGACTCAAGCGAAGCCAGCGGAAACACACAATGCTATACATTAGCACTCAGAATATCAGAGGGTCAGTTTGAATAAGAACTGCCTTTTAAAAACTGCTATTACACTTCAAGGAAGATTTTGGTATGTGATTGGTAAAGATGTTCAACATACCACCTGACTCAAATAGCCTTGACTGCAAGACGTAATCGGGTGTGTTAATGATATTACGTATACTCGCTATCGCTGATATTCTGAGATCTTGTATCCCTGATAGAATATCGATCAAACAATTCCATTTATGTTGTTTCATTTGGAACATGACAGGACAAATATAGTATTTATTATGATATTTTTGTAGTTTCCAATCGCCACTGTTTGGATGGTAGCAATGATGGTTCAGATGACTATAATGTCTGGTTCATGATAATTTATTCATTGGGATGTATTCGTATGCTAAGTTAAAACATGAAGACTAAACCTATTTATGATTTATGCCAGTAAGAATATGTTTTTATATGATTGTGTTGATAACATAATATTTAATCATTTACGTGATGTTCGCAAATAGGGCAAGTGCGAGTGCAAAGGGCCGTGCGCTTGCGTACTTTGTAATAGTCATTAGCCAATCATTTCACACATAACTATAGATATTCTTTCATCAGTTACGTCATATTATATTTTACGTCACTTTTTATAGAGCAATACGGTTCTGATAGCGTTTACCTACAAAATAACAGCTTTTTGTTCTATATTGTACAATTATTGATTTTCGTGAGGGATTCATTTTCTTTATTTCGTGGTTACTCTTAATCTACGGATCAATGTTTTAAAATAATCACGAATTGCTGGTATTAATAAATTTCTTGATAATTAGTGTCCCCGAAACCTAGAAATTTGAGCTCCACGAAAATCAATGGCTTCATAGGCCACATTTTTTCCTTCTATTTTCTGGTTTATAGATCTAAATGCATTTAGTTCTCTGCCCAAAATGATATCTTCAGCTTTTTAAATATATTTACCTTAATGATATTTTTGTTTGAAATTAGCGGCGATGCACGAGACGTAATGATTAAGATGTGCGAAAGAGTTACGCGTGTGGGCTGAGAAAATTTAAAAATAGTTATATACAAATGTATATAAAATTACCTCATTCTTAAGTTTCTCCAGTAAGTATGATAGTCTTTAAATCATGATATTGATATTATCGCAGTGTAATACTAATGATACAAGTTATCTTAATCATTAATCGTATATTGATACAGTCCCTATATAAATATATATATATATATGTATATCTATACAACGTCGGCCTATTCTTGCCAGTATGTGTGTTCCTGTTAAGTTACAAAATTCATTGATATACATATTATATTACGTCATAAGGACGACGTCACTGAATCAGAAATATTATTATTGTTATCATTAATGGAAATCGTTTTCCTTAAAATACTGTTATTTAGACGTGTAATTAATAGAATCACGAGAAACTATTAATATTCCTTTTGAAAATATACGTCAAAATAGACAGCTGTAGTGGCAATCCCATGTTTTGAAAAGGAATCTCTTCATATGTATATCTAAGATAAATATAGCAGTTTGTACGATAGCAATTCATTGATTTGGTATATTACAATTGACTTTCGAAATTAGGAATCTCGAAATATCATCCATTTAATATGCAAAAGATAACATGACAGGAAATGGTATTTTATGGTATATCATAACATGAATCGTCCTGATGTTCGTGTGACACGTGCATTGAAATAGACATCACTCTTACATATATATATATATATATTAGTAGCAATATTCCTTTCAGTAAAGGAAGGATTATTGTGCTATACATATACAAATTAATCAAAATGTGATATGTTTCGCTGAGCTTACGTTTTTATAGTGCTGGAGATAATATATGTTGTTGTGTTGTTGTGTACATATGTCTAATGCTGTTTGGGATATATAAGGTCATATTGGTTCATAGCTTACAACGAGCGTTAATATGAAAGAAATCGACAAAAGTGAAATTTCAAAAAGAAGGTTTTGCTTTCCTTTACTTTCGATATATTTCCAGGAAAAGAAACACATAAAAACTGCCACTTCGCAATTACTGTAAAGTTTATTAATTGCGAAATTAAAGCAAAGCACAAATATCATTTTTAAAAGTTAGAAAATCTTCTGAATATCTACATGGAGTTCTAGAGATATAAAGTTAACTGGAAACGTTCACCTAACATTATTTTGATATAGAAATACATTCATGTAAATTAAAAGGTTTTCTCCTTTTTCAGTTAAAGAGAAAATGATGTTTTAACCTTGTGTTTTGTATGTTGTATGTATAGGACAATGCGTGTCCAATACATGCGTCTGGCTGGCGTTCACTGTTGATTGTTGGTCTGCCAATATGTGATACGATATTGTTTGTTGTACAAAAGATGTCCAACTATGTCTCATATATTGTGAATATCAAACAAATTAAATATGAAATACTTGAAATATCGCATTTGTTTTTATGTAGTGAACTGTCATCTTTCATCAAGCTTGAGGTAAAGGTTCCTAGTCTACAAATAATTGTTGACTTTCAATTTTCCTTGATATAACGGACGACACAATGGCATGGACCTAGAAGCTGTTGATAACATACTTACCTCCCTTGATTACACGCTCTACGTAAACAGGTGTGCGTAGTTATCGAGCGTCTGATTGAGCTAGACTAAATGTGAAAACCGTAATCATCCTTCCGGAACACCTGTAATTTATAACGTCTTTCAAGATTTGTTTTGATCTTTTGTTGTCGATTCGTTCCGACGACCAACGCCTGATTGTTAGTATGTCGATTCCGTAACGGGAAAATGACAAAGGAAATCATTTGCACATGACTGAAGCCAGTATCATCTAATAGTTCATTTTAATGGTTCAATAACTACCTGTTTAGCTTATGGAAAGACGCAAAAAAGGAACACAGGTTGAACTACCACAGATATCGAATCGTTTCAGAAATATCAAGAAAACGGGACAGATTACCTGAAAACCTCATCATTATCTTTTCATTTCCGCATCGTACTTTGGCGCTTCTCCTGTATACTATATAGATGTAAAATCTTTAGGTCAAACCATCACCTAGGAAGAGTCCATGCTCTTCTAGAGACGAAATACAAAAATTATAATTAGAACGATTTTACAATAATGATTAAGAACTTACCTAAAAGATCAAAGATTGTAAAAAGGACATGCAGGTGAATGGCAACTTTCAATACAAACTTAGAATAGGTACAGCCAAATACAATTAATTAAACTGCATCATAAAGCCGTCTCGTCAGCGATGCTAAGGGCCTAAAATTGAAACCTAAGAGGCGATGAAGGAAAATGCAAATATATAGAATAAAATCTAGATAAGGAGATACACTGGCCCCTTAATCAAATCAATTTCCTAATTTCCTTAAATCTGACATCTTTTCCAGGGAACATCAAGAACGTGTAAACATTCTGAAGAATGTGATTTTTTGACTAACAAAAACGTGGTATGCAGGTTATTGCAAAACTCGTGGACTAAGACAACATCGAAGAAAGCTCCAATGAGCCAACAGGGAAATGGACAGACACTAAATAGAATGTGAGAAAATCAACCAGATGATGGGGGTAAGAATATAACTAGTATGATGATGCGCCTATAAACCTTTCCAATTCTAAACACAAATCGCCCTATAGATATCCTTAAAGCCATCAAGATATATCCGTATACTTTCAGGCAATTTCAAAAATCAGTAAGATGTAGATAGGATATCAAATAATAAACTCATACATAAGACGTAGATCAATTTTCCCGATTGCTTGGATTACGATAAAATTGTTTTCAGCTCAAAAATAAAAAGAACTATATTTCATCTGCTAAAGTATTTGACACTTTTTAAGTAATATCTAAGAAGTCGTCTATACTGAAAGTATGTATAGGAATCCCCCACTTTAATGGCATTGAGTTCTATATCACATAGATAAATACTTTCAGAATTAAACAGAAGAACGTATCCTTAATATGATTTATATAAATACTAGCCTGGGTTAAACAAACAACTCTCATAGGAGAAGGCTATGTTTTGTGTTAAAAGTAACTCCTGAAGAAATAACTCGTTATTATAATTGGTTTAAATTGTATTTTGTGCAATTACACAGCAGAATCCTCCAATGTAAATAGATAATCTTTCTGACAGAATTAGGCACAGCAGGATCAGGACATATCGGCAGGAGCGGTAAATTCCTATAAAAACGAAATATCACTGCAACATTGGCCAGCAGGTATTTCATCACAATTGTTTATTTCGGTGCGCTGCAGATGTATTTTCAATATCATTCCTCTTGGTTAAGTTTACTGATCTATGGAAAGCACGCGAGCATTGTCATCTTGCATATAGCAGGTTATGTAAACTAATAGCGTGCAGATGCTAAAACATTCGATGTTTTGTTTTAGATTTGTTTCTTGTAAGCACTAAATATTATCTATATGCAGATATAAAGTATATAGTATTCAATTTTGAGTCCTATTTAGCAATGATAGTGATTGACAGTTTTACAAATGAAACTAGGATATCTTAATTCATTCATAGAGTCAATAGAAAAAATATTTACATTTGAAAAATTGTAATATATCAGCATCGTTTGTTTGTTAAAAGAGTAATCAAAACTTCTTGGTGATGCGAGTCTTTACTACCTGTAAAATATTACAATGTAAATCAACCGATTTGAAACAAAAAGGAAACGCGGCATTTGTCATTTTTGGTACAATAAGAAAAAACGCTTAACCCCAAGCGATTTTCTCAATTCTGAAAATGTTTTCAGATAAACAACCGAAACTCATAAATCTGTCTTCAGTGTCGATGGGCTGCTGTTCTGAATAGTATATGTATATTATAGCGGCCATTTTGTAACCTGTTTGTTCTGAAGAAAATGAGTTTTTCTTTCATTCTCAAACTG